GGGGGGGGGGGGGAGTGACTGTTTGTGCTGTTTGTACAAGTGATTGTCTTATACGGGTGGCCGTTTAAGCAGGGTTGACAGTATCGTTTTTGTGACTGATTGCATTGCTGTCTGTCTGTTTATTCTTTTCGCGTGGTAGTTTATTTTTTGCTTTTGGTTTTAAAGAAATGGAAATTCAATTATCTACGTACCAGTGTGTCGTGTTTGTGGTGTACTGGTTAGGCTTTTCGACGTCACACTCCCACACACACGATTTGCGTTCGATTCCTGTACCGGGAAGTATATTTTACGGAATATCTCCACCTTTTTGCTTTGATGCTGCTTTCCTTTCACCCATATCAGGTTGTACCTGAAAGAATGAAAAATTTTTTTTATTTAAATCGAGTGGATTTGGACTTAATTAAGAATCCACAAGCATTTGCATTAATTTACAATCTTTATAGCGGTGTGGCAGACACAGGTAGCTTCTCTCGAGGGCCTAGTGTTTGTGTTTTCAATCAGAGTAAAAGAAAAATGGGAAAAGATGAAAATAACAAGGTAAAAAAGTGTTCAATGAAAGTCAGACTCGCAAACATAATGATATACATACTCTGAAACACATGCTTGCGCGTACACTAACACACACGCGCGCATGCAAACTTACATACACACATACACACACGAACATACAATAATTCATGAACACCTACGTACACACATACACAAACATACACACTCGCACACCCAGACTCAAGCATGCTTCTGTGCTAGGAAATATAGTACTTTGTTCTCGTCAATCTTAGAGCATAGGGACTACATAATAAATGTCCTTATCTGCAACGGATTTCCTATCACATGTCATCCATTTTGAGTTTGACATATTATGTCTTTCTTGTCTCTGCTTTCTCTAAATTTTAATGTGCATTCGTTTGTAAGAGTTTTGCGGCACTTGTAACACAATCCAGTCATTTAAGTGCCGAAGATTAGAAGTGTTGCATTGGCGCTCATGACCCCATGCAGTGGCGAGCGCCGTGAAACCTCTACTAAAAAAATAAAAATAAATAGGTGTTACTTGTGTAACGTACATACAAAAGAAGGAGGAGAGATAGGAAAGATACGTGTTTGATAGGAACGAAGATGCAAACTACACCAGAGTGAATGAGTACCCACTAACCACCCACTTTGCTTGTCTATCTGTCTGTCTGTCTGTCTGTCTGTCTGTCTGTCTGTCTGTCTGTCTGTCTGTCTTTCCATTTGTCTGTCTCTTTTCGTATAGTTTGTAGGGTTGAAGCATTTGATTTGTTTTGCCACCTCAAGGGTTATTGCCTCTCTCACTGGCATGAAGAGAATCTATCCGTAACCACGTGTATTCCCTGTACGATTCATCATAATGGTATATTAGTTAGAGGTGGGCAAAATCCGGATAAACTATCCGTTAATCGGATAATTCTCAATGAAACATTATCCAAATTCATTAACTCTCTTTCCTGACCCGTTTGCCGAAGCGGGTGCACCCAAATGTTGAAGTGATACCAAAACCCGTTTATCGAAGTGATTCTAACCCATTTACCGAAGCGGTTCAAAACATATTATTTGCCGAAGAGGTGAATTAACATATAATCCGGATTTTGCTAAAGCGACTCACTGCCCAGCCCTAATATTAGTGTCACGACGTGGTGGAGTCAGGCGCTCGTCAATTTTTGAGCTTGTGGAGTTATTGGTATAATCTGAAAGCTTGTTCATTTGCCTTGTTTCCGATGAAAAAATACCTATCTATCTTGAATAGAAGTTGGGATATTTGCCATTGAAGAAGGTGGGGACGCCTGGTTTTAGTGGTTAAATTAATGAGAAAATGGCCGCCAAAGTTTTGTAACTTAATTGAAAACTGAAAATTACATATTTTGTAACCTTAAACAATGTTTTTCTTCAATAAAATTCACTTGGATATGTGCTTTTATATGAACATAAAAGGTGTTTATTCAAAAACTAAAATTTCGATAACAATTGCCAAACTGGTGGAAAAGTGTCTTTTCCTTTGATTTCATTATTTTGACGAGCGACTGATTTCACCACGATGTCTCACATACATTGTGTGGGTTGTCCATCTCCCTTGGGCTATGTACCAACAAGTACACCCTTCCAAATTGTTTTGATAGAGCTGAATCAACTCGAGAAACACACGAGACATTACCTCCCGCCAGGTGGCGGGTAAACTATATCCCAGGTGCAGCGTCCATCACACAATATTGCAACAGCTGGATTTGTACATGGTCTGCCTCTATCTATTCAGTTCTCCTTGTCGTTTTTTCAATCTAGGCGGCATCCGTTAAATTCATTTCGTTGTTTTTCTAATTGTATTTTCTTACTCTTATTACTCCCTTCTTATGTTTGTGTTGTTTATCTTTGTTTATATCGGATTTTTATGGTAGGCTGTTGGCAGGACACAGCTCAAAGCACGTATCCGGAGTAACGATGTTGTTTGTTACGGAAATATTATGGCAGATTGTTTTTGGTTTGGTTTCACTGCTGTAAAAAAAAAAGTAAAAACACAAACATAATGATATTGACTTTAGTTATAGTTAGGAAGTTAAGAGTTCAGTTTAAACTTTCTCTCCAATAATCACAAAAACACACATACATAATGATATTGACTTTAGTAATACTTTGAAAGTTAAGAGTTCAGTTTAACCTTTCTCTCCAATAATCACAGGTATAGAAGGTGGGTGGTTGATGGGTGCTCTGATGTGGTTTGCTCCTTCTTCCCTATCAAACATCTATCGTCCTTATCTCCCCCTCCTTCTTTTTTTATGTTGTTACTCTCTTGTAACACCTCTAATCTTCTGGCTCTCATATTGCCTTATGAAGTTGCAAGCGCCGTAAAACGTCTACTAAAACAAACAAACATGTAATGAAGTGTCAGGCTGGTGGACTCTTGTAGTTGGACTTGACGTTTTATGGTTTTGTTTCGTTCTTTACTAGCATGCTGGTTCGTTCATATTACTTAAATGTCAATGTCTAATAAAAGATGTCTGAGGTAGAGTAGGCAGAACGAAAAGAAAACGAAGAAGAAAGCTGTTGTTGTTTTTTTTAAGAAGAAAAAGAAAAAAAAGAATAATAAAGCGAAAAAAGTCACCGGAAAGAGGACGGCAACAAACCTCAGAAAGGGGTATACCAACACATTTCTTAAAGAGAGACGTACGTTTCATATTTTTTCTAGTGATAAGATACATTCCTTGTGCCCATTTATATGTCTAATATATTTCAAGCTAGCCATTTTGGTGGTAATTCTTTCTTCTAATCAGTTTCGCTTTCGCTCCTCTCTCCCCGTCCACACAAATTACGAAACGTATCTCAGCCCGAGCAAAAAGACATTCATCAACTGTTCAGAGAATGAAAATCTCACTGAGTAGCAGTACCGAAGAAACAGTCTGTTTGTTCCGAAAGATCAAAGAACAGATCAGTTTATCTGTCCAATTATCTTCTATTGAGGTTCAGCCAAACAGTTTGAGCGGAAACAGAATACATTTATAGTACCATGGTGATGAGACTAAAGATGTACTCGGGTGATAGAGAGTCTGATTGACGGTTTCAGGGGTGAGGCAATTAGAAGCCAATTCTTATATCGCGGGTTATACGAAAGATTTCTCTCTCTCTCTCTTTGTTTTTCTCTCTCGCTCTCGCTTTCTCTCTCTCTCTCTCTCTCTCTCTCTCTCTCTCTCTCTCTCTCTCTCTCTCTCTCTATATATATATATATATATATATATATATATATATATATATATATATATATATGTATGTATGTTTCTCTCTGTCTGTCTCTCTCTTTCTGTCTGTCTGAGAGAGAGAGACACACACACAGAGAGAGAGAGAGAGAGAGAGAGAGAGAGAGAGAGAGAGAGAGAGAGAGAGAGAGAGAGAAGGAAATGTGAGCTCGCCAGTTAGAACCAACTAACTTACCTGACCTACTTTGCACATCCGGGGGTTTCTTCACTGGTTTTTGGTTTAGTTTTAGGGCAAGCTTTACGGCACTTGCAACACTTCTCTCCTATGAAACATCTATCGTCCTTATCTCCCCTTCTTCTTTTATATGTTTGTTACTCTCTTGTAACACCTCTAATCTTCTGGCGCTCATATGCATATGACCTTATGCAGTTGCGAGCGCCGTAAAACCTCTACTAAAACAAAGAAGCACTTGCAAGACTAATAGGTCATATAAATGCCGAAGATTTGAAGTGTCAGTAGAGAATACCCCCCCCCCCCCTCAAAACACACACACACACACACACACACAAGAAAACATACAAAAACGACAACAACGACCCCCCCCCAAAAAAAAACCCAACAAAAAACACCAAAATCCCTTAAAAAAACAAAAACAACAGCAACGAAAAACAGAACAAGGAGAAGGAGTAAGGGCGATAGGTGGTTGGTAAAGAAAGAATGACTAAAACCACACCAAAGCACCTGCCAAACACCCCACGATTTCCACTCTCTAATGGGCTCGGTGGTGGTGACGTCATACGCAAAAAAAACACCTTTAACTTATTCAAAGAATGGTTTATTTTCACCTTCAGAGGACAGGCGAGTAACCGTAAAACTTCGTAAGATTTTTCGGACGTTTCCAGCAAAGAAAAAAAAAGGATCAGCCGCAGATGCTGATCAGAGGTATCGTCGAAGTTCCCATTAACCTTTATCTATTAAGGAACCGAGTCATTTTCCAGAAGCTCTTTCCTGTATGGCTTACTAATTTAGGGTGTGTGATAGATTGCGCAGACAACAGAGCTCTTTGCGGGTGGCCGTTGTAGTCATTAGACCTTGACTCTCTCGCTCGGAGACCGCGGTATACTCACAGTGGGGTGCTAGCTCGGAGACCGCGATATACTCACAGTGGGGTGATAGCTCTGTTACTGGGGTATACTCACTGTGGGGTACTGGCTCGGAGACTGGGGTATACTCACTGTGGTGCTAGCTGATAGCCACCTGTTGGTTAGGACATGAGGGTCCGTGTGAGAAGTTCTCATTATCTAATTACCCCGCTTGATGACAACTGGTTTTCTCATAGTATCTTTTCCCGCCAGATTCCTTACTTAAGGTATTCCTTTGTTCTGTGTATCGGTTCTGTTTATCTATCTACCTCACAATCACACACACATATAGATACACACAAACACACTCTCACACACATACTCTCTCACACACACACACACACACACACACACACACACACACACGCACACTCACACACATAGACACACACAGATGCGGATAGATACATAGATACATAGATAGGTAGGTAGGTAGATAGATAGAATGATAGATAGATAGATAGATAGAAAGATAGATAGATAGATAGATAGATAGATAGATAGATAGATAGATAGATAGATAGA